TCTGAGGATAAAGTAATAGTTAATAAGATGATTCATGTTGCATCACCACTAGATTAGAAAAATACACCAAAGGACTAGAATCAGGTGTTCAGAAACAGACTTCCATATATTTATGGCATCTATTCAGGATAGAAGCAGTACTGCAGAGCAGTACAGAAAGACAGTCCTCTCTATTAAATTGGATTTCCGTATGTCAAGAGCTTTGTAATGTTTTGAACAACCAATAATAAATTAAAAAAAAAAAAACTGGATTTCCATACTGGGAGGAGGGACCTGATTGCATAAACATGGCCAAGCTGCTTTCACACCCTCACATTCCCATCAGCTGTAACCCTCCGTGCATTTTCCCAACTTGGACTAACTAATCCTTTCCATCCCCCAGGACAGAGCATCAGCTCAGCAGCAGCTGTGGATGGTAGAAGACACGCTGGCTGGTCTGGGTGGCCCTCAGAAACCACTCCCCCACGCTGAGCCTGACTCCCCATCCCCTGCACTCCAAGGCGAGGAGTCCTCAGAGAGGGAGGTGAGACTCCGCTTCTGTCTCCTATGTCCCTGGTCCAACCTGTTCCCCCAACCACCTCCTTTCTTCTCCCTTGGTCACTTAACCAACTTCAGGCAGATACCTTCAACTCTGAGAGCCCTTCTTTCCTTGTTTGTTATATAGATGCCCCTGGGTATCTGCAGGGTTAGTTCCAGGATCCCTTGTGGAGACCAAAATCTTTCAGTGCTCTAGCCCCTTATAGAAAAYGATGTGGTATTTGCATATGATGTATGCACATCCTCCTACGTAGTTAAAACCATCTCCAGGTGACTTACAATATCTAAGACATATAAATGCTATGTGGATAGTTGCATATTGTGACAAAGCATTGCCACTGAGCCACATCCTCAGCCTTTTTTAAAAAATACTTTTTAGTTGTCAATGGACCTTTATTTTATTTATTTTTACATGGTGCTAAGAATCGAACCCAGTGCCTCACACATGCTAGGCAAGTGCTCTACCACGGAGCCACAATACCAGCCTATCCCCAGCCCTTTTATTTTTTATTTTGAAAGAGGGTTCATTAAGTTGCTGAGGCTGGCCTTGAACTTGCAATTCTCCTGTCTTAGCCTCCCAAGTGCCTGGGATTACAGGCATGAGGAAAGGCATTTGTTAAAAAGGATTTACTAGGGGCTGGGGATGTGGCTCAAGCGGTAGCGCGATCACCTGGCATGCGTGCGGCCCGGGTTCGATCCACAGCACCACATACMAACAAAGATGTTGTGTCCGCCGASAACTAAAAAATAAATATTAAAAAAATTCTCTCTCTCTCTCTCTCTCTCTCTCTCTCTCACCTCTCTCTTAAAAAAAAAAAAAAAGGATTTACTAGGACTGAGGTTGAGGCTCAATGGTAGAGCACTTGCCTAGCAAGTGTAAGGCACTGGGTTCGATCCTCAGTACCACATAAAAATAAAAAAGCACTTACTAGACACCACTAATCTTAATCCTCAAGGTGGAGAGACTTGCCCCCCCCCCAGAAGCCGGGACAATTATTGTCATAGCTGGGTTAGAGCGACTGACTTTCAGACCATGAATCCAGAAGACCTGGGTTCAGAACCCAACTTTACTCTCTTTGAGATACTGGGCACGGTGGCACACGCCTCTAATCCCAGCAGCTCAGGAGGCTGAGGCAGGAGGATTGCGAGTTCAAAGCTGGCCTCAGCAAAAATGAGGCACTAAGTGACTCAGTGAGACCCTGTCTTTTAATAAAATACAGAAAGGGGCTGGGGGTATGGCTCAGTGGTAGAGCGCTTGCCTAGCATGTGTGAGGTACTGGGTTCGATTCTCARCATCACATATAAATAAATAAAGGTCCATTGACAACTTAAAAAATTACAAAAAAGGACTGGGGATGTAGCTCAGTGGTTGAGTGCCCCTGAATTCAATCCCAGTACCAAAAAAAATTAATAATAATGATGAWGACAATAATAATTATTCTCCTTTTCTGATCCCTCCAGAGTTTGCCTGAGTCCTTGGAACTGAGCTCCCCTCGGTCCCCTGAGGCTGACTGGGGGCGGCCCCCTGGAGGTGACAGAGACCTTGCCAGCCCTCGCTCAGGTGAGCATCCTGCTGGAGTGGGAGTTTCCTTGTGTTCTAACCTCACCAAGTCCCTTGTCCTGCCAGGTCTTGGATCTCCGAGGGTCTCCCGGGCTTCTAGTCCTGAGGGTCGCCGTCCCACTTCTCCGCAACTGGGAACCAAGGTAGGCCATATATGGGCCCCCCTTAGGTCTGTCTTGTCACTCTATGATCTAACAACCACAGACTCCAAAATCCTGGGGAAACAGCTGGGAGAGGAGAATTCCAAAGCCACACTCAAAGCAGAAAGCACATGATTTATTCAGAGCATTGGAACCAAATTTGTCTCTAACACTCCTAAGCTGTGTGGCTTTAGGTCAGATTAAACTTCTCTGTGCCTCTATTTTTCATCTGTAAAATGAAGCTAATTGTAATTTCTACCACCTAGAGGATTAAAAGAGATGAATGACTCTAAAGGGCTGAAAATAGCAAGTTCTTTATTTATTCATCTGTTCATTCCTTCACCAAATATTTCTATATTTGCTGGGATGGAAACCAGGGTGTGTACATGTTTAGCAAAGGCTCTATCACTGAACACAGCCCATTCCCTCTGGTTTTGAGAACAAAAGAAACAGAGAGGTCAAGAAAGCATCATTAAATCCTGAGATTGTCCCAAAATAATCTTGACAATTCAGTTGCCAGAGTTCAGAGAAGCAACTCAAGTCCCATGGACTAGAAAGGGAAGAAGCTTGATGTGTCTGGGACGCCCCCTGCTGGGGCTTTGGGCTTCCACAGGGCAGGAGATGGAGCATATATGGGCCCCCCTTAGGTCTGCCTTGTAACCTATGAGAGGTGGGTGGGGGCTAGGCCACACAGGGCCTCAAAAGCCTTTGCTGGCTGGATGGGTCCACAGGAGGCTTGAGCAGGGGAGAGAGTGTCATCTCTGTTGTAGAAAGACCCCTCTAAGTGCTGTGGTGAACTCACTGGCAAAGGTCAGACCACAGGCCAGGAGGTCAGGAAGAAGAAGGAGGAGGCCCAAGGTTGGGGCAYAGGGTACTTCTCCTCTCCCCAGGTCCCCACCACCCGGCCACGGATGAGTGCTCAGGAGCAGCTGGAGCGTATTCGCAGGAACCAGGAGTGTGGACGGCCTCTCCCACGCCCCACCTCCCCCCGGCTGCTCACTCTAGGGAGGACACTGTCCCCAGCCAGACGCCAGGCGGACCTGGAGCAAAAGGTGAGTGGCCTAGGTTAGGGGGTGAGGGGTAGGGTAGTAAAGAGACTTTTTTTTTTTTTTTGAGTACTAGGGATTGAACCCAGGGGCAATTTACCACTGAGCAATATCCCCAGCCCTTTTAAAATATTTTACTTAGAGACAGTGTCTCACTAAGTTGCTTAGGGCCTTGATAAATTGCTGAGGCTGGCTTTGAACTTGTGATCCTCCTGCCTCAGCCTTTTGAGCTGCTGGGATTACAGGCGTGCACCACCACATCCGGCCCATCGGATTTCATAACCTCTTCGTGCTTCCTCTACTTCAGCCTCAAAATGAGAAGTGGGGTTTCCAGGCCAGGAATCTAATGCCACAATTCCTTTCCAGTCTGTCCTAGGAGCTGCAAAATGGCTCAGAAGCTCAGGGTCCTGGAGTAGGTAAGGAACTAGAGGGTGGATGAAGGGAACGGGAAATCTGTTTGCAAAAGGGGAGGTGAGGAGCACTGTCATGAGAGTCTTCTGAGTACTGAATTGCAAGTGGCAAAACTTTTAGAGCCTCTTGAGTTTCTGGGGCATCTGAAACAAGACAGGAAGCCCTGGATACACAATGAGAACTGCAGTTTTAAGAAGTCTCTTGGCGGTATCAAACCCAATTCCTGTAAAATTGATTGGACTAAGCATCCCATAATACACCGGGGTTGTGTGGAAAGTTCTTTGGGGACATGGATTATGGACTGCAACTCCCAGAACAGGCGCCCCCACCATACCTGCTCCCCATCTTCTCTTTCGTCTAGTCCTAGGAACACTACCCCTTACTTGCCAACTTCCGAAGGCCACCGGGAGCGGGTCCTTAGCCTCTCCCAAGCCCTGGCCACTGAGGCGTCGCAGTGGCACAGGATGATGACAGGTGAGGGATGGCGGATCTGGACTCCTGGGTTTTAGGGAAGGGTGAGCTTGAGGCACGGACTCTTAGGCTCTGTGAGGAGAGGTGGGGGGGGGCTCTGGGAATTCTTAGTCGTGGCAAAGAAAGAGCCGGGAAAGAATGGAAGTTCCAAATCCCAGGCAAGAGGGACCAGGATGAGGGCATTAGGGAAAGGGGAGAAGGAGGCTGGGGGGATGGCACCTGAAACAGCCTGAGGGTCAAACTCCCTGGTCCGAGAGAGGAGGGCTGTGGTGGGGACTCTGGGTTTGGGGGAGGAAAGCTGAGTCCTTGTCTCTTGGGTCTGAGAGAGGGGGGCTGAGTCCCAAAGTTTGCCATGCTCATCCCCCACGCAGCCTCTCCAGATGGAAATGTGGACTCCCGAGGAGAGCCTCTCCCCCCGGCGCCGCCGCCTCCTTCGGACCCCACACTCCAGGTGACCTCTCACCCAAGATGCTCTCCGATGGCTAATTCCGATTCCGCGGGATTCTCGCGCGGTGGTAGTGGGCGTGGTGGAGGCCCCGCCCACTGGGAGCCCACGTGGGACTCCGGGAACGCCCCTCCTGCCCAGACTCAAGAGGAGGGGGCGTGGCCACTGAGGGTCACGTTGCTCCAGTCCAGCTTCTGACCCGCTCAAATGCGACAGCCAATCGGAGAGTGGGGGCGTGGCCTTGAGGACCAGCGGGAGAGCTGGACTGCCTCGGGAACCTGGGGGCGTGACCTAGTCCCCACCTGGAAGGGGCGTGGCTTTACGGCCAACCTTTGATTTTCCCCAACAATGTCCAAATTTGCATTAAAACTTTGAACTTTTAGTCAATAGTTTCTCTCTGTCTGTCTGGGATTGTGACACCGGGCCGTCTGAGGAGCAGGGAGCAGGGAATGAATACATTGCGTCCTGGCTTAGGTGTGCAGCGGCTGAACCTCAGGAATACTGAATTTGGGGCTGGAGGGGCTGGGACCCTGATTCCCGGGTCTGAGGGAGGAGAGTTGGGCTGGGACAAATTCCTGGGTCTCTGGATTCCCTGGCAACGCCCCCCAGGGTCGGGCTTCCAAGATCTAGCCCCTATTTAGGGTTTGATCCCTTGGCCTCCCTGGACTTCAGAGGTGGAAAGTCACTTATTGAGTGACAGAGACTGACTGGCCGGGAATGGCTGCGGGAACGCGCTATGCGGGGAAGGTGGTGATTGTGACCGGGGGCGGGCGCGGCATCGGAGCTGGGATCGCAAGAGCCTTCGGTGAGTGAGGGTCTGGCTGCTCCGCACTTTGGGGTCTAAGAGAGTAGGGATGGAAAGAAAGAGGAAGATAACTGGGGGTGCAGGCGCAGTGGGAAGAAAAAACTCCGGTTTCTTATAAAAGTCAATTTGCAATTGGTAACGAAGGGTGCCCAAGGATGGCCAAGGACACGAATTTTTGGCAGTGTCTCCAAAAGCAGTTATTTCCCTTTTTCTGGATATGTTACTGTAGCTGCAAAGTGGTGATTCGGGGATATGTCTCTGGCAGGTTTGGGGCGTACTCTGGATCCCATAAATAAGGCCCTGGCAGCCCCAGCAGGCACCTAGAGGGGCAAAGGGGAATCTGTGTTAAGGCTCTGCCCTTTGTCCTCGGACATCATCGGGAGACCTGGGTCAAGAGTGGGGGGGCGGGGAGTGACCACGAGAGGGCAGCAGAGGCCCTGACCAAGGTCTGTAGGGCCCCAACCTGATCTCTTCTGTTCTCAGTGGACAGTGGGGCCCAAGTGGTTATCTGCGACAAGGATGGTGAGTGAGGGCCCCTCCGCCCTCCCCCCAGCCCTCCTCCCTCAGACCTCGGGGTCCAGGCCCCAGCCTCCTCCCTCAGACCCGGGTGTCCAGGCCCAGCTTCTCTCTCCCTGCAGTGTCAGGTGGCCAGGCCCTGGAGCAGCAGCTTCCGGGAGCCGTCTTTATCCCCTGTGATGTGACTCAGGAAGAAGACGTGAAGGTGAGAGCGTCCCTCTCTCTGGCCGTGTTCTCCTCCCTGGGTTTATGCTACTGTTCCCTCCATCTCTCCTGATCTGGCTAAATCCTTCTGGTCCCAAAGGTGTCAGCCCGGTGCTGTTTCCGGTCATGCCCGCATGTCACGTGGCTCCTGGATGCTCTTCTTTTATCTCCTGTCAAGCAGGCCTCCTGTGACATTTCCCCTCCTGTTTCTGGGTTCCACGCCTTTCCTTTAGTCAGTATCTCCCGGTATCAGCTCTCCGGGTCTCTCTCTGCCAACCCTCACCCCAGCTTCTCTGTCCCCCTCTATTTCTGTCTGGGTCTCTGGCCCCCTGCTGCCCCAGGTTTCTGCACTGACAGTTCAGTGCAGCTGTGACAAGCCTTGGTTTCTGGTCCCCTGGCTTCCTGTCTCCTGTCTGTCATTTCTGGTAATCCTGGGCACCCCCTTGCTCTGGCTCCTGTCCCCTCAGGAGTGCACCTAGCTCCCTCCCCGCCTTGCTCTGGGGCCCTGGTCCCTCTGAGGGGGGCACCATAGCACTCATCACAGGACATGTCCTTCCCCCTCAGACCCTGATTTCCGAGACCATCCTGCGATTTGGCCATCTGGATTGTGTGGTCAACAATGCTGGCTACCGTGAGTTGCCAGGTGTAGGGCCCCTCTGCGCTGTTCTACCCACTTCCTGTCCCTTAGTTTCCCCTTTCCCCACCCCTGCTGTCCCCATCCCCCTTTCTGTCTTCTTGGACAGGACAGTTCAGCTATGGTACCCGCAGGCCTTGGCTTAAATCCTGGTTCTCTTCCTTCTCTACTGTGTCCCCAGTCCCGAGCTTCCCCCTGCCTCAGTTTCCAGATGTCTAGAATGGGAGTCATCACCGTTGTCCCACAGAGTGTTGGGATCCCTGGTGGAGGGAAACTGCTCAGCCCCATAATCCCTGGGACCACCTCAGGCATACAACTGGGACCTGGTAGCCTCACTTTGCTCGTGTCCACTGACCACCTGGCCGATGGTCCTGAGCTCTGCCAGTGACACTGGAGATTTTCTTCCTGGTGCACAGTTCCTGGCCTCCCTGCGGTGGCTTCCAAGGGAAATATCCTTCAGTTTAAGGACCATCCTTCCTGAGAATGCCCCTGGGTGGTAAACCAAGGCTCAGAGACTGCATCCTTTCTCCTGGGATTGCCCAGCGAGGCAATAGCAGAGGAGTTGCCCTTGCCAGGTGGATTCACCCTCTCTTGACTGTTTGTTCCTTCCTAGATTATTGTCAGGATTTGAAAAAAATATATATATCAGGTATTAGTTCCTCTATGTCCTTTGTCTGTTCAACAGATGTGTATTGAGCATCTGTGATCAGGCGCCACATCCCATCCTAGGGATCAGGGATTTAGTAGAGAACCAAGCAGAAAATGTCCCTGCACTCACCGAACTCACATCAGGAAGTAGGAAAAAAAAAGACCCGGACCAGCTCATTCTTTGTGGAATCTCAGTTGTGAGTTTGCCTACTTGCTACAATGTATTTGGAACCCAAAATTGGTACTCACCGAACAGGCACGGTGTTGTTTGAATCTCTGTGGCTCACATTTCCCACGGAGATCAGACAGGCTGACTCTGCCCACTGTCAATCAGCTGTCAACCGGAGAACCCTAGATGGAGGCAGAGCGTGGCTGGGCAGGTGGCTCCTGTTCTGGGGCTGGTTGGGCTGGTTTTGATCTTAACTCTGTCACCTTATTATGGAACACCCTCAGGAAAGTCCCCTAACACTTTGGAATCTTCTTTTCTGGTTGATAAAATAGAGTCTACCAGCACAAGTGGTTCTCGAGATTTAAGATTGTCGTCTGTGGTAGTTAATATCAGTGTACCGATCTGTAGGCTTGCACACATGGACATGTACGCAATGTTCTGTCATTATCTCTGTTAGCTCTTCAGGCTTCCTCCAGGAGCCGTGGGTGAATGTTCTCGAACCTAGGGTTTGTGATGATCCCTTAGAATACATCTGTCAAGAATAATGAGAATCTATTATATGACAGTGTGGTCAGGAATTAAAATAAAGCTGGCCAGGTGTGGTGGTGCACACCTGTAATCCCAGTGACTCTGGAGGCTGAGGAAGGAAGATTGCAAATTGGAGACGGGCCTCAGCAACTTAGCAAGACCCTGTCTCAAAATGAAAACTAAAAAGGGCTGGGGATGTGGCTCAGGGGTAGAGTCCCTGGGTTCAATCCCCAGTATCACAAAAAATAAATAATACAATTAATTTTTTTTTTAAAGATATCCCACCCAGGTGCAGTGGCGACTTGGGAGGCTGAGGTAGGAGGATGACAAGGGATAACAAGTTCAAGACTAGCCTTAGCAATTTAGTGAGGCCCTAAGCAACTTAGTGAGACCCTCCCTGTCTTAAATAAAAAATTAAAAAGGGCTGGGGAGGTGGCTCAGTTTTAAAGCACCTCTGGGTTCAACCCCCACTAACAAAGTGAATAAATAAACAATCATTTAAAAATTCAAAGAGAAAGCCCACTGACCACCTGGCAGGCTAGTGGACAGGCTGTTTGGGGAGGCTTCTCACACGATGTTTGTCCAGGTCCCTGGGAGAAGTGAGGCGACCATGTGGCATCTGGGGAGTAAGAGTCAATATTGCCCTCTCTGGTCTGGTTTCCKTCTCTGTCCCTTGGTCCATGTGTCTCCCGGGGCCTTGGAGCGTCCAGGGTCCCCTCTTTCCACTTCTTGTGGGTTCCTGCGGTTCTCACTTGGTGTCTTACCAGCTCCTGACTCTGAAGGTGGATTTTTCTTCCCTCTGCTACTGTGCCCGCTTCCTTCTGTTTGTTTAGCCAACACACTTTGGTGCTGCTTGTCAGGGACAAACACTGACTCATGAAATCTGTAGGCCCAAGAACGAGATGTCGTCCTCGTTCTGCAGATGAGGAAACTGAGGCACAGAGGGACCAGGGCTTGCCCACGGTCACCCAGCCGGGAGGTGGCAGGACTGAGATTCAAGGCCAGCCTTCTGCCGCCACAAGCTGCCTTCTCATAAACCCACAAGGCAGCCCTATCCCTTGTCCCCTTCCCTCCCCATCCCAGGTCCCCTCCCCATCCTCCCTGGCAGGGCTCATTCCTCCTCTCCCCGCAGACCCACCCCYGCAGTGGTTGGAGGAGACCTCAGCCCAGGGATTCCGGCAGCTTTTGGAGCTGAACCTTCTGGGGACTTACACCGTGACCAAGGTGAGCACTGGCCTGGCCATCAGACCCAGAGGCTCATTTTGTCCAAAAGCAAAATCTCTGATTTTTTATTTTGCTCTTCTTATTCCAAAAGGACTCTGTTCTTTGGGGAAAATGAATGGGTGCGAATCTCCATTTGTACGCAACTCAGCCTTCTTAGGAACCTTCCAGGACCTTCCAAGTAGCTGTGGGGGTAGTGGGAGGGGTGTTAAGAACACAGTGGGGGAACCAGGCGTAGTAGCAGCACAGGCCTGTAATCCTAGAGACTCAGGAGGCTGAAGCAGGAGGATCGCAAGTTCAAGGCCAGCTTCAGCAACTTAGCGAGACCCTGTCTCAAAATAAAAATTAAAAGGGCTGGGATGTGGCTCAGTGGTTAAGCACTCCTGGGTTCAGTCCTCGGCACCAAAAACAAACTTAAGACAAATATTTTGCATAAACAACCGAGTTTCTGGTTTCTGTTAAAAAGTTGGCAGAGCAGGTTAACTGGACCCGTGGGGGAGGGGCCCCGTGTGTTAAGTGCAGCCCAGCTGTCTGTGTCACACTAGACCCACCTCTCCCTATTGGGCTGCCTGACTCTGTCACCTGCGAGTGACGTGCACAGAAGCCTCACATGGGGTAAGGGTCTAGGTCTCAGGACCAACTAAGTTTCTGTTGCTTCCTACTTACACTATTGTACAAGCAATAAACCTGTCTGTGCCTCAGTTTCTCATATATAAAATGGGGCTAATAACGGCCTGTAATCCAGACTTCTTCTGGGGATCAAATGAGATGAGGCACGGTGGCACACACCTATAATCCCAGCAACTCGGGAGGGTGAGACAGGACGATTGCAGTTTGGAGACCAGCCTCAGCAACTTGAGACCTGTCTCAAATGAAAACTAAAAAAAAAAAAAAAAAGAACTGGGAATGTACCTCAATGGTAAAGCACCCCTGGGTTCAGTCCCTAGTCCTAATGATAATGATAATAATAATAATAATAAAATAAATCAGATACTCATTAAGTTAGAAGACACCTGGCATAGATTTACCCTCTGTAAGTTATTGTGGTTTATCATGAACCTTGTACCTTGTGGCCAACCCACTTCACTCTATGTGAGAACCATGAGACATGTTGGGCAAATGGAGCCTAGGGAAAGTAGAAGGGAAAAGGTAAGATCTGAGCTGATCTCTGTGGGTGGGAGAGAAGTGGAGAAGTAGGGCATAGGGTGTTTTACTTCCTGAGAAGAATGTGCAAAGGCCCTGGGGCAGGACCACTGGGTATATCTCAGGAGAAACCCCATTCTTTTTTTTTTWAAATTATTATTAACTTTGAAACAGGGTCACGCTAARTTGTTAGGGCTTTGCTAAATTGCTGAGGCTGGCCTCAAATCCTCCTGCCTCAGCCTCTTGAGTCTCTAGGATTACAGGTATGCACCACCACTCCCTGTCTAGCCCCATTTTTTCTGTTTATCGACTATGTATCAGAGGGCTGGGGATTCAGGAGCATGCAGAGCGCTTGCCTAGCACGCATGAGGGTCCTGGGTTCAATCCCCAGCACTAAAAACAAACCAACGAGACTGAATGTTGGAGTGCTTGTCTGTCTTTCTTCCTGAATAACCAGTCTACTTTCCCTGAACTATCTGAGAGTAAGTTGGAGGCATGTTTTTGTCGCAGTGCTGGGGATTGAACTCAGGGCCTTGAGCACACGAGGCAGGAGTTCTCCCAGCCTGRTCTGTGCCCTTTTACCCCTAAGTACTTTGAAGTGAATCAAGAGTAATCTCTTATGCAATCACAGTAAGACTTTTCAAAATCAGGGTGCACATGCACCTCACAGTTATCCTTCACCTAAGAGGCAAAGAGAAAAGTGTTGTTTTAGTTTAGAAACAGATTTAACTTTATGTTAATTAAAAAAAAAATCCTTGGGGTGGAGGTACACATCTGTAACCCCAGCTACTTGTGAGGCTGGGACAAATCTGAGACCATCCTGGGCAACTTAGTGAGAAGAAATAAACAAAATGGGCTGGGGATGGGACGCAGTGGAGAGCACTCCTGGGCTGGACCCCCACTGCCTAAAAAAAAATAAAAAAAAAATATGTGAGCACTTGTTGCTGCCATCGCCATCACCACTCAAGTCCCTTGGAAACTGTACTTTCTTACTTATTTTGTAGCACTGTCAAATGATCCAAGGGGCCCTCTGCCCCCGAACCACACCTCCAATTCTTTATTTTTTKAGACAGGACCTCACTAACTTTCTGAGGCCTGTCTCAAACTTGGGATCCTTCTGCCCCAGCCTCCTGAGCAGGGGGGATCACAGGCGTGGGCCTTGTGCCTGGCCCTTGTGCCTGGCCCTTGGGGACTCTTTATTTTATTTTTTTATATTTATTTTTTGTATTTGTAGTTGGACACAATACCTTTATTTATTTACTTTTATGTGGTGCTGAGGGTTGAACCCACGTGCAAGGTGAGCGCCCTATGGCTGAGCCCTAAACCCAGCCCCCCCCCCTTGGGGACTCTTTAAAATGTGGATTCTGGGGCCCTGGCCAGGAATGGGTGTTGGGAGGGGCCTTGAACCAGAATCTGCGGTCCTCGGCCTCCCTGGGAGATATGCATATAAGCCCAAGGTTGGGATTCCCTGGGCTGGGAAGAAAGGAGGGCAGGACTAGGGATATTGAACGTGGCCAGGGAAGCAGGGAGGCCACAGGGATCCCCAGGAGGCCGCAAGTGAGTGATATACCTAGCCTAGTTATCTCATTAGATCAGAAGCCAGCTTGTCACAAGTTATGAAGGATTCATTTCTGTTTTCTGTAAAAATATCAGGATGTCTGTATGGCCTGGCCATTAGTTGATGTTGTAAAGCTGATTGGAATGCCTGCCCATGCCCTGAACTCACCCAGGTCCGGTTTTCCCCTGACCATATAACAACCCTTTCCTAAACCTTAGTGATGCCTCATAAATTCTGGCCTTCCCTGGCCGGATAACGACCCTCTCTGAGTCTCTAAGATCTCCATAAATTCTGATGCCGGGGCCAGCAAAAATGTAAACTTGTGTTATGCTCCTCAGAGTGTTGTTATCTGTAACCCCCCCCCTTTGTGTAACTTTTTGGGCTATAAAACTGGGCCACAAAGAAGCCTTGGGGCTGTCCTTGGCTCCCAGGATTTTGAGGGGTAATGCAGCCCGGCCGGTCGAAATAATAAGCTTGCTTTATTTTGATTTTAATTGGAGTCAGTGGTCTTTTCTTGCGTCCTGGTCTAACAGGGAGTACCCAGGTGTCACTGGAGACTCTGGGGCCGGGCTGGGCTCTGGGCCGGTTCCCATGATCCAACTCCTATGTGTTTACCCACCAACTCCTGACAGGCCAGACACAGTTCCAGGTGCTGTGGGCGCACCAGGGAGCAAAGTGCTGTCACCGCTGGCAGCCAGGCGTCCCCATGTAAACACGGGGAGTGTGGAAGGAGGTGGGTGAGGATCTGGGCAGGGGAGTCAGGGAACTGGTTGGGCCTGGGATCAGGCTGGGCGTCCAATGCCATGAAGATGGAGGGAGTGCCATTAACTGGGCCAGAGGGTGGAGGAGTGAGGACAGGTGTTGTGCCAAGGCCTGGCAGTGGGAGAACATAGGCTGGTGCTGTTGAGGGGCTTCGTGGAACGAGGGGGAGTGAGGCAAGAAGGGGCAGGGCCGGGACAATCGTGCAGAGTCTTTCGGGCCATGCTRTGGGACCTGGTCTTTCATCTTGGAGCAGTAGGGAGCTATGGCAGGTGTTTGTACCAGGAAGAGCTGAGAGCTTATTATCACTCCTAACAGCCCCTCACCCCTCGCTCGGTCGTGCATGAAGAACACATCAGAGGGCCAAGCGTGACACAGGAAAACCCAAAGCAGGAGAGAGTCACGTTTGTCCAAGTGAGACCCGTAGGCTTCAAGGTCCCTGTTCTGCTGGGGGCAGTGGCCCATGCCTATAATCCTAGCAGCTCAGGAGGCTGAGGCAGGAGGATTGTAAATTCAAACCAGCCTCAGTAACTTGGCAAGGCTCTAAGCAACTTAGTGAGACCCTATTTCAAAATAAAAATATAAAAAGGGCTGCGGGTGATGCTCAGTAGTTAAGCACCCCGGGTTCAATCTCCAGGACCAAAACCAAAACAAAACAAGGGGCTGGGGTTGTGGCTCAGTGGCAGAGTGCTTGCCTACCATGTGCCTACGAGGTACTGGGTTCGATTCTCAGCACCCCATAAAAATGAATAAAACAAAGGTCCGTCAACAACTAAAAGCAAGTACCATGGAGGGGGCAGGCATTGGGGGACAAAGGGGAGACTCTTATTCAGGAGACACTGAGGTAGATGCCCAGGAGAGGGGTTCAGAAGCTCTAGGCAGGGCTCTGAGGCAGATCTAGAAGATGCTGGCAGAAACCAGCAAGGTGCTTCTCCCAGTCTCTGCCACAACATTTAGGAGAACCAGGAGGGAGGGGGAAGCCAGCAACTCTGTAGCTACCTAGGGATACCAAGTGACCCTGAGAGACCTGGGGAGAAGGACACTGGCCAAGGAATGTGGGAGGGGGGAGAGCCGGAGTCTGGGACAAATATCTCTGAGCACCAGCTGTGGGCTTGCCCTGCGTTGGGAGGAGGTAATAGGCTGGGTCCCGTGCTCCCGGGCCTTGTTTGCAAGGTGAGGGTGTGGAGGAAGTTAACAGCAGGTCAGGTTCTAGGTGGGGCTGCCGAAGGAGCATGTCAAGGCCTGAGGGGGAGAGGGTGCAGGGGGTTCCCTGAGCTGGAGGGCAGAGAATGCCCCTCCTCGAAGCCCACACATATCATTCATGTTCAAATTATATTAGGGTTCCAATAGAGGTGTCAGAAAGTCTCCTTTGTTTATGGGGCTTGGCGCTTTACCTCTGAGTTACATTGCCAGCCTTTATTTATTATTWTTTTTTTTAATTTGAGACAGGGCCTCATTAAATTGCTGAGGCTGGCCTCCAACCTGCGATCCTTCTGCCTCAACCTCCCAAGTCACCAGGATTACAGGCGTGTGCCACGATACCAGGCAACTGTGCCACCTTTCAGGCATGTGCCACTACACCGGGCAACTGTGCCATCTTGCAGGGTAGTTTTGGGGTTAAATGAGCTAAGTGGTGAGAAGATCTGAGAACAGGGCAGATATATACCAGATCTGTCCTTCTTTCCCTCCCTCCCTCCCTCCCTCCCTTCCTTCCTTCCTTCCTTCCTTCCTTCCTTCCTTCCTTCCTTCCTTCCTTCCTTCCTTCCTTCCAAAACATAGTATGTCAGAAACAGGCTTGGCAGGTCCCAGTTTTAAATAGGATGGTCAGGAAAGGCCTCACTGATAGGAGGCACTGGAACAGTGTTTGAAGGAGCTGAGCCGGTGTGATGACCCACCACTGCCCCAGTTTAGCATTGAAAGTGTGGACTGAGGCTGGGCCCAGTAGTGCATGCCTGAAATCCCAGAGGCTCAGGAGGCTGAGGCAGGAGGTTCACAAGTTCAAGGCTAGCCTTAGCAACATAGCGAGGCCCTAAGCAACTTAGTGAAACTCTGTCTCAAAATAAAATAAAATGGGCTGGGAATGTGGCTCAATGGTAAAGAGCCCCTGGGTTCAATTATTGGTACCCACCCACCCCCCAAGAAAAATGTGGACTGGACACCCCATGTTCCCAGAATCCCTTCAGTCCTGGGCTAACTGGGATGGTTAGTAAGGCAGAGAGAACAGCAAGTACAAAGGCCCTGAGGTTGAGATACACAAGATGCATTTGAAGATACAGTACTGAGAAATGGTGGAGGTTTGCAAGAGCTGGAGGGGTGAACCAAGAGGGAGTTTATTTAGATTCCCATTCTGAGAGCCTCCCGGGGGGTGCTGGCTTGTGTTCATGAATGTTTACAGGCAGGAACAGGCCCTGGCTGGCTGGCTCAGCTGCCCAAGGCAGGCAAGAGGAAGGATGGAATTTAAATGTATCCAAGGTCATGCGTAGAGAACCCACCACACTCACACACGTGCCAGGATGAGCGGAGGACCTCCAGGGAGCTGCTCAGGGGGAGTTGGCAGAAAGGGGTACATTTCAGGAAGGTCTCCCACTTCACATCTGACCACAGAGCTCTCTATAGAATTCAGAGAAACTGTCTCCCCTCCAGGGGTAAAAGCACTGCCTTCCATTTTTGCAAAACTTACAGCCTTCTGAATCTGTCTCCCATTTTCCTGATTTGATGTGGATGGCGGGTTGTGTAACATACAGAGACCCAGAGAGAGGGAGGCAGAGACCCAGCAGAAGAGACACAAAGAGAAGAGAAATCCCGTCCAGTCAAGGAGCATCTCCTCAGGGCTGAGACCCGAGACACTAGGGCCAAGCCCGAAAAGTGCCCCCAAGATCAACTAGGAGCACGGGGGAGACGGTCAGTGTGCCGGAGGTCAGCTTTCCTATGGCTCACCTTCAGCACACTGGGGGAGACCCCGAGACCTGGGGGCTGATTCTGCCTCCCGTTTCCCCAGCTCGCCCTCCCCCACCTGAGGAAGACCCAAGGCAACGTCATCAACATCTCCAGTCTGGTCGGGGCCATTGGCCAGTCCCAGGCCGTTCCCTATGTGGCCACGAAGGTACCCCAGCCCTTGCCCCTTCCTTGCCCCCCACCCCACTTTCTGGGAGCCTCAGCTGTACACCCAGGATCTTAGGAGCAGCAGCCAGGACCACCTGCCACCCAACTCCCCGATTCAGCTCTGAGACACGACAACCTGTGATCAATGGCTCCTGGCGCTTTTCTCTCAAGAAATGGCATTTTAAGAGGCCTATGAGGAGGGGAAGTTGTCCTCGTTCTGATGCCCCTACTTGATGCCCCCTGGCTAGAAGGAGTGGCGGGAAGGGCCCCAACTTCTGGGACTGAACTTTCTCCCTGGCCTTTTCTACAGGGGGCAGTAACGGCCATGACCAAAGCCTTGGCCCTGGATGAGAGCCGATATGGCGTCCGAGTCAACTGGTGAGCCCCAAGCAGTAGGCTGCGAGTCTCCTGGGGGAACTGGGAAGACTGGGAGTGAGCCAAGAGGCAGCAGTTGGGACACACTTCTCTGATCCCCTCTCTCCCTTCCCCCAGTATCTCCCCAGGAAACATCTGGACCCCATTGTGGGAACAGTTGGCAGCCTTAACACCAGACCCCAGGGCCACAMTCCAGGAGGGCACCTTGGCCCAGGTAGGAGTTGAGGACCAGATCCAGGTGGAATGGAGGAAACTTGGGGGTGTGGCCATCAGGTGGGGGCTCCCCTTGACCTCCTTTCTCCTCCTCTCTCCCCAGCCCCTGGGCCGCATGGGCCAGCCAGCTGAGGTGGGGGCCGCAGCCCTATTCCTGGCTTCTGAAGCCAGCTTCTGCACAGGCATTGAGCTCCTTGTGACTGGGGGTGCAGAGCTGGGGTATGGATGTAAGGCTGCTCCGGGCACCCCTGTGGACCTCCCCACTTGCCCTTCTTGATTGCCCACATTTTCACTGGAGCCTCCCTGCCCAGCATTTCCCACCCYGAACTCCAGCCTGTCCCATCTACCTCCCAGGTCCAGACCCCCCAGACTTTAACCCACCTAGGAATGCACCGGATCACCCCTTCTAGTCCCCCAAAGGCAATCTGCAGTCAGAAGGAGAACATGATTATATGTATTTCCTGCCCTTTATACAAATGTGAGCACACSAGGGTTACTGAGCCCACAAGTTGCCTCCACCCTGGAGGATGACAGTTCCCTGAGGGCCTTGAAGCAGGTGCCCCAGTGGCTCACGAATGCCAGGTAGAGCAGTTCACCTTCACCTGGGTGCTAATTAGAAGTCACACAGGGGAGAGTAAATTAAACGCTAATTAGGATATATAATGGAGAAGGAGAAGGCCTCTTTATTCTTTTTTTTATAATTTTTTTTTAATATTTATTTTTTAGTTTTCGGCGGACACAACATCTTTGTTTGTATGTGGTGCTGAGGATCGAACCCGGGCCGCACTCTTGCCAGGCGAGCGCGCTACCGCTTGAGCCACATCCCCAGCCCCGGCCTCTTTATTCTTGACCCTTGGGGAAAGTAGTTTTGGCCTCCTGGAATGTGGAGCAGAAAAGTGACTACCACGACAAGTCCTGAGGGAAGAGGAAGCGGGGTTGAGACATCGGGGTCAGAGGGAGAAGTTGCTAGGGCCAGGACTCCCGAGTTTTGGCTGAGGGAGGTCTCTTGGGGCGCGGCGCCCAGTAGCAGCTGCGCCCCGCAGGTGCGGGGGTGGGGCTGCAAAGCTGCTGCGGATTGGCCGCCGCGGGGGTGTGCGGCAGTCGCTGATTGGCTGCGGGGGTCCGGGCGCGGCCTGTGGGCGCCAACCCTACAGCCCCCGCCCGGATGGTGGGGGAGGAGGACCGGGGTGGAGAGAGGAAAAACAGCAACATCTGCAGGGGAGGGACCGTGGTTTGGTTCCTCTGTCCAGTAGCTGTTTGAGGTGGGGGTTGGGGGGACTGGGGCTAGGGACGGAATTTGGTGCCATTGTGGGGGGTACAACTTGGGGGGAAGTGTCCCAATATTATGGAGGTACATGGCTTAGGGACCGCGTTTTGAGGACTCAGCAGAGATGAGATTTCAGTGTTAGGGTAACGCGGATGCAGGGATTTAGGAGACCACTGATCACGAAAAGTTTGGGGCACACAGTGATGGGGGAGCACAGTCAAGAGGGTCACTGCCKCGGGTCTGAGTTGCTAGGGGGTCGGAGGGATCCTGAAGGACTACGATTGGCTAACTCTGCCTCTGGAGTCCTGAAGCTGGGGGATGCTCCTGGAGGGGTGTAACCAGGACACCCTGCGCCAGGGGCTCTTCTTTGAGAAGATGAGTGAGATGTAGGCATGTGTGCAGTTTTTCGGGCTTCACTGATTAAAGGGACTGGAAGGAGGCATGGCGAACTCTGTGTGCTTTTAGTTCAGAGTTACAAAGAACACACATATTTTCTCCTCGTTACGAAAAAGCCATATTCAAACAGGAAAGTATCCAGAGTGCAGAGGGAAGCTCCTTCTTCATCCTCCTCTGTCCCACTCAGCAGAGCCCTTTTCCAAAAGCCACATTTCTTTATGCCTCCGCTGACATTTACAGTGAGCTTTTCTTTTTTCACAAAGAGATCGCGTAACCGAGCTTTCTGCTCCTTGCTTTTGCCTTCTCTTACCTCGGGATGCTTGTCCTGTCCGGCTCTCCAGGAAAAACTCTATGAAAATACATTTTCAAAAATTACTGGGCATATGAAAACGGGGTGGGGGGGGGATGAGGGAGGAGTGCATTTCAGTTCCTGCCTCGTACAGCGCATGTACTCCGCAGCAGGGCCTGGCTCGCTAAGTGGGGAGGCCTGGCCCCAATTGGGGTGGCCCGCGGGCAGGCATCCTGCGGGAGGGGGCGTAAGAGGGGCGGGGCCGGAACGACTTTCTCTGGGGCCGCGCCCCGGGCGGGCGCAGTTACACGCCGCACGGATCATGGCCGCGCTCGCGCTGGGGCAGGTGGGTTCGCAACGCCAGCTGGGGGTCTGGGGAACCCGGGGGTGGGGCGCACTTCCGGGAGGATCATGGGCGCGCAAGCTTTCTCTCTCAGCCCCGCTTCTCTGGCCCTGAGATTCCGTGGCGGGGTGCGTAAGAAATGGGGTCCTTTGGACAGAACCCCTAGGGTTTAAAGGGCTGGGGGTCGGGGGCAGGTAATTGTGGGGAGGGGACCTGGGAGGTTGCCAGGGAACGTGGAGGAGGGGCCCGCCTTGGGGAGGCCCGGGACCAGGGTGGGGCGGAACCGTTGCGATTGGAATAACGTCTTGGGGAGTCTGGAGGGAGCTGCCCGCGGGGGGSGGGGGGGCGCGGCGGGGATGGAGGCCCTGGACCTTAAGGAGTTGGGGTGGGAGGAAGGCACGTCCTGTTTCTCGGAAGGAAAGGTCGGTAAGACAGATGGAGAAGGTTCATATGAAGTCTGCACCTGGTTAGAGATTGAGGCAGCTTCTCCCTGTCAAAGTGACAGGTCCTCCGGGCAAGAACCGGACGGTCTGTTCTTACCGATGATAAGAGGTCAAAGGGTTTCCAGAGCCTATGATGATAGAGAACAGAATTTCTTAGGAAGGAAACCACTGGGTCGATACAACCCTTGACAGCTGCAGCATAACCTTGGGAGAAATGTTTACTCTTAACTTTGCACCTGACTTTATCTAAGTTATCTTATCCCAGGATGATGAATAGCAGGGCAGATTTTTTTTACTTTTCCCAGGTCTTAGTGACAGGGATAGTTAGTGTTGGGCAGACACTGTGGGACAGGCCTGGGATATGACAGGGGCACCCTGGGCACTGATGGTGACACAGCTGAGCTATGGTGGGACAGTGCTGGGGTCTGATGGGTGTAGTTTGGGGCCATGATGTGGAGAGTCCTATCATGGCACAGTACTGCCATAGTAGGTGAGTCCTAAACTCTAATGGGACATTCCTGCGCTCTAATGTCCTGTAATGGAGACAGTCTGGGGCTGAACCTGAGCTGTAATGGAGACAGTCTGGGGCTGAACCTGTGATGGGCACAGTCAGGGACTCCCTGGGAGGTCCTGGAGTGTGAAGTGGACAGTGACCTGCAGGGACTGGCCTAGACTGACATGGGAATAATTCTTGGATCTGAAAGATACAGCGGCTGGGTCTTGACAGGGACAATCCTGGAATACAGAGGGAGAAGATTTTGGCTTTGGAGGGCAGATATTCCTGAGCTGTGTTGAGACACTGCTTGGTTCTGGAGGGGGAAGTCCTGGGAAGTGACTGGAGCCATCTGGGGTTCCGATGTAGGGTCTTGGATGGTCTATAGGACAGCCCTGGGCTGGGATGCAGAGTGAGTCCTGGGCTACAAAGGCAAGTTCTTGATGTGATGGGGTCAGTCCTGGGCTGTGACAAGGACATTTTGGGGCTATGAGAGGAAAACTCCTGGTGTTTAATGATAAAACTCTTGGGCTCTGTCAAAGACAGATGTCCTGTGCTATAGGGGACACGGTGGAGGCTCAGTCATATTATAGAGCCTTTCTTGTGCACCTACCCCTACCCCTCTTCTTCATTTCGTTTTGGTACTGTGGGTTGAATCCAGGGGCAGTTAACCACTGAGCCATATCTCAGGGTTCCCCCCCACCCCGTTTTAAAATTTTGAGTTAGGGTCTCACTAAGTTGCTTAGGGCCTTGCTAAATTGCTGAGGCTGTCTTTTAACTTGGGATCCTCCTGCCTTAGCCTCCTGAGCCACTGGGATTACAGGAGTGCCCCGCCACCCCTGGCCCCCTTCTTTCTTGGCTCAGCCTCCATCCTTTACACTCCTGGTGTTTAATGCTGAAACTCTTGGGCTCTGTCAGAGAAGTCCATTTGCGCATTTCCTCTAGGCTCCACTCCATAGCTGGGGTCTGGGATGGCAGGGTGCCCTCCTCACCTTAGAGAAATGCCCTGGAGGAGGAAGGTAGCTTTACTCACTGTCACAGGTTTCTGGCACCATGCCCCGTGCCTTCTCTGCCCTGTGGGGGTGTGCTCTGTTTTTCTGCTTCTCCTGCCTCCAAACATCTCTGAGACAGTGTCTCTCCCTCTCCCTCTGCTCTCCTGCCACCCAAGGCTCCGAGGTCTCACTTTTGTCTGTTCCTCTCCTTTCCCTCACCTTGCCTCTTGGCTTCTCTGTATTCTGCTCTCAGTCACTTCCCTGGTTTCCTCCAGGCTTTGTTACTTTGCCTGAGTTCTGCTCTCCCTCTCCCTCTCCCTCTCCCTCTGTCTCTCTGTCTCTCATCTTGGTTTTTCTGTGATAGACACATTTTGGCAACTCGGCCTGGATGCCTGTTCTTTTCAGTTTGTTCTCCATTTCTGTTTCTTTTTCTCATTCTTCCACTTTCCTCTCTAAATCTCTTTTATTCATGTGTCCTGGCTTCCTCTGCTGTCTTGTCCTTGTACTGGCTGTCCTGTACTGTGTGTTTGCTCTCTCCATACTGTGGCTGTCCTGTTCTTTCCTGTGTGCAGAGCCTTGGCCACAGGACCAGGCAGGCTCCATGTTACACACAGAGGCCACGTGGGGGAGGGGAGGCACATACTGCAGTCAGCGATCATTCCAGAGGCCCTTGGGCCTACACCTCTAAAGCTGCATCTCAGGCTTCACTGCCCAGAGTCTGTGACACTGCATCCATAACCCTGTCTCCCCATAACTCACCTGCTGGCCAGTGATCCCTGCCATTCATATCCATTTTTGCCAGTTGGTGACAGCTCTCCTGGCTCATAGGGAGAGTGCAGGCTGCTCTGTGTCCTCAATCCTACAGCCCAGCTGTCTTCCTGCAGGGTTGGGGAAAGAAGCACTGTGAGTGGGAGATCCCCAGGGTGGGCCACCCTGCTAGTCCAACAGACCACTGTGCCCTGCTTTTCTCGGCGAGGGCGAGGTCCGTGAGGGAAGTATGCACCTGAGCATGGTCTGTTGATGATTTGGGTGGCCCCCAGGGTCCTGGTGCTGGCCCTCAGCCTCTGAGATCTGAAGGGCATTGGAGTCACTGCTGAGGTGACACCCATGGTGTGGGGTCAGGCGCTTCAGGTGATCTCGATCTAATACCCAGAAGTAATAAGCATTGAGACTCCTGGTTCTGAGGGTAAGGGCTGGGGGCCTGGATTCCTGAGTTCTCAGGGAACAGGGCCTATAGGTCCCTTGCTCACCTGACTCCTCTTGTGACTTGGGTCCCTTGGGAGGCCTCTGCTTACCTGCACACCTTCCGTCGTCCTYGCCTTGTCTGAGCTGGTCCTAGGCTGAGGTCAAAGTTTCCTGGGGTGGGAGGCGCCTGCTTTTGACTTTGCCCAGGGTGGAGGAGGGGGCCTGGAGCCCATTCAGCTCCCTCTAGGGATGGCCCTAGTAGGACTCGCTGGGAGCACTTGGCTAGAGCCAAATGCCCTGCTTGAATGCACAGGGACTGTGACAGGGACGCCAGAGGGTACTCCTAGGTGCAGGAAGTGACAAATGAAATACTGGGACCCTTGGGGCTGGGGATGTGGCTCAAGCGGTAGCGCGCTCGCCTGGCATGCGTGCAGCGCGGGTTCGATCCTAAGCACCACATACAAACAAAGATGTTGTGACCACCGAGAACTAAAAAATAAATATTAAAAAAGAAAAAAAGAAATACTGGGACCCTTGCTCTCTCCCACTGCTGGCACGTCACCTTCCTCACTTCTCTTTCTGTCCCAGATCTGGTCCCGGAAACTTCTCCCTGTCCCTTGGCTTCTGTGGGGTCTCAGAGGATGTGCCTCTACCAACTTCAAGGTGAAAGGAGGGACCAGAACACCAGGGTCTGAGGGAGGAGGCTGGGGCCTGGACTCTTGAGCCTCAGAGAGGGGGACAGGGGCTTGGACCCCTAAGTCTGAGGGAGGAGGGGATTGGCAGCTGGATCTGGGCATCTCCAAAGGTCTGCAGCCTGGAGGTGCAGGTGGGTGGCAGTGGTGTAGCACAACAGCCTGGGGAAAGATGAAACTACATTTCCCAGAGTCCACTGGGGCAGGCGCTCATGAAGAGAATTATAGCTTTTCAGCTGGACACCTGTGACCAGATTCCTGGACACCTGGGTGTCCCATCTTTTCTCAGGCTGCAGACTTGCAGCTGCAAATAACGAAGGAGCCACGAAAGAAGCCCAGCCCCAGTGACTCCCTGGTGTTTGGGAAGACGTTCACCGACCACATGCTGATGGTGGAATGGAACAGGAAGAAGGGCTGGGGCCAGCCCAGGATCCAGCCCTTCCAGAATCTCACTCTGCACCCAGCCTGCTCTGCCCTCCACTACTCCCTGCAGGTGGCGTGGCCACTGACCTCTGTCCCTGGTCCCGTGTGCATCCCCTCCTTGCTGTGCCCCTTGCCAGCTCCACCTCCCTGGGTTTGCTTTCCACAGGCTTTTTTCCACTCATCACCAGCTTTCCGGGGCCTCCTGCACTTCACACTGGGGTCCTGGTTCCCTCACTCAAAACTGCACCCTGGTTACAACCTGGTGTTACCTAGGCTCCGATGAGGCAGCGGGGGAGGCCAGGGTTTCTCTAGCCTAGCTTGAAGGAAAGTGGGGCCTTTCCTGGCAAAACCTAGGAGGCTTAGGGTGTCAGTGGGGAAGGGGCCAGTCAGTGGGAAAGGGGCCAGTCAATGCAAGGCCCAGACAGGAAGGGCCTGGCATAATAGGGAGGAATTATGGGATTGGAGTGTGTCAGAGGACACTAGGGGTGTTATCAAGGCCACCGGAGGAACTGAGGCACTGGACCTTGTCCAGGGGTGCTGGGAGCCATGGAGCAGCGGAGGTGCAGGCCCAACCTGGGTATAGTAGGACCTCCCTCTTGCTGTATAGACAGGAGTTGAGACTGGAGGCCAGGAGGTCAAGGATGGGTGATGATTCAGGTAGGAGAGGATAAGTAGGCGTGGAGATCTGAACTGGGGCCAGAGCTGTGGGAATTCTCCTATAGCAGCCCTAAGGAGCTTTCCGTTTTTTGCAGCAGCAGCATAGTATTCCATCCTAACAATGTTCTGCATTAGGCAGTCCCCTATTTTGGGGCACTTGGGTTGTTTCCAGCCTTGTCCTCTTATAAACACAGTTGCAATAAACAATGAAGTGCACCTGTCACTTCCTCTAAGTGCAGGTGTATCTCTCCACTTAATTTCTACAACTATTGGGTGAAAGTGCAGATACAGTCATAATTTTGAAAGGTATTGCCACATTGTCTGCTACCGAAGTTGTATCAGTTTCTACACTCACCAGCCAAGCCTGTTTCCCCAAACCTTAGACAAACCTTGTCCAACTTTTAGATCTTTTCCCGTCTCCCAAGTGGTTTTAAAGATTCTGTTATTTATTTATTTTTGCAGTACTGGGGATTGAACTCAGAGACTTGCACATGCTAACCATGCAGTCTACCATTGAGCTATACCCCAAATTCCAGGTGTTTTTTTTTTTTTAATGGAATCAAATATAATCACTCTTTTATTTTTTGGCTTTGTGATTTTTCGAATTTAGAAAGACTGTCCCCAATTTAAGGTAGAAAGCAGTTAGCTTGTGTTTTCTTCTATAGCTTTTATGGTTTATTATGCATGTTTTTTTTCATTCAAAATTGCACTCTCTGGAATTTTGTCTGGTGTGAGGCAGGGGTTCAATTTCATTTGTTCCTCTGTGGGTGTTTGGTTGTCTGTCCCACTGTGAGTCAGCCCCCTCATACACCACTGCTCCCAGTCACAGCTCTGTTTTTTCTTACAGTGCTGGGGATTGAACCCTGGGGGTGCTCTACCACTGAGCCACAACCCAGCTCTTGTTACTTTTTATTTTGAGATAGGGTCTCACTAAGTTGCCAAGTCTGGCCTCAAACTTTGTATCTTCCTATCTGAGCCTGGGGTTCCAGGCGCGGGCCACTGCACCCCCCCATCCCCACCCCTCTTGACCCTTATTAGTTGTATTTCCCCCAAAAATATCCTGCTTATTTTTACTTCATTCATTTCATATTCATATTAATTAAATCCACAAAAYCCAAGCTGTGCCAAGTGGGGTCCTGGATGCCAGGGGCTGTGGGGTCTCTGATGAACATGTCCGGTGCCCTAGGGCGCTCTCAGCCTAGGTGGACACTGAACAGGCACCCTACGGAGCCAGGGGCAGTGACCAGGCCCCTGGTGTGCGTGGGGGTGAGGCTACACCATGAAGGGTATGATACTTGCTTTTTCCTGGCTGTGTTTTGCCGTCTGTTTTTGTTTTTACTGGTGCTGGGGATGGAACCCGGGCCTTGTACCCGTAGGCGGGCACTCCACGCTGAGCCACCCCAGCCCTCGGAGGTGCCTAGGGCTGAACCCCATGACGTGAGCTGGAGGACATGGGTGAAGGGAGGGAGGACCAAGCCCCTGCAGACCCTGGGAGCAGGAGAAGGCCAAGGTGGCCACCTGTGGGGAGAGTGGGCAGGAGTTAGTCTAGGAGCCTGCAGGTGAGAGGCCAGGTCCAGGACCTCAGAGGCCACGGTGGGGACTTGAGCTTTCTCCTGAGAGTAGCATGGTGGGGGTGGGGATCAACTTTTTTTAAGCTAAAAAGAAAGTTTTTATGCGACATTCGAAACACAGAAGTAGGTAACAGGAGGCACATGCTTCATCTGTTAGCTCCTGTTGGCCCAGAACCTTGTCTCCGCTGGACTTACTTCCACTGTCTCCCACTTTGTGATGAGAAGCAAATCCCAGACAGTGGGTTATTCCATCCATAAATATTTCAGTATTTCTCTAAAATACCAGGGCTCTTTCCAAACGTTCACAGGTTTATCATGCCTGAAAAATATGAGCAGTAGTTGGAGGGGCTCCTGTGGGGGTTCTCTCTGGTTCCCTGTGGTCCGCAGTATCCACAGAAGTCCACTGCCACCTTAAGTCTACCTCTGTCTGTCTGCCTCTCCCCACCTCTGACTCCATCTCTGTGTTTGTGTCTTGGTCTGTCAGTCTCTTGCTGTCCCTCTGTCTGTGATGACCCAGGGGCTCTGAGCCTCCACACACCTGTCCCCACAGCTCTTTGAGGGCTTGAAGGCGTACAGAGGCCAGGACCAGCAGGTGCGCCTCTTCCGGCCCTGGCTCAACATGGACCGCATGCTGCGCACAGCCCTGCGCCTCTGCCTGCCGGTGAGCAGCCTGGCCTGCCTGTGGGGGGACGGGGAGGGCCAGAGCTGCGGGCCTCCTGACCCGTGTGGGGCCTGCCCAGAGTTTTGACAAGGTGGAGCTGCTGGAGTGCATCCGTCGGCTCATCGAGGTGGATAAGGCCTGGGTTCCCGGGGGCACCGGCACCAGCCTCTACGTGCGGCCCGTGCTCATAGGTACCGAGGTGAGCCCCCCTCAGGGCTGGGGACTCCTGGGGACCCCTGGGCTAGGGGAGGGAAAGGGGCTGGGCCTGGACTCCTGGTCTGAGAGAGGAGGCTGAGCGACTCCTGACCCTGAGGCTGCCCCTCTGCTCTCCCAGGACTCGCTGGGTGTCAACAGCGCCAGTCAAGCCCTCCTGTTTGTCATCCTCTGTCCTGTGGGCTCCTACTTTCCTGGAGACTCGGTGACCCCTGTCTCCCTCCTGGCCGACCCGACATTTATCCGGGCCTGGATGGGTGGCGTTGGTGACTACAAGGTGGGAGGGTAAGTAGCCCCTGCACCCCTAGAATGTACCATGCACTGGAGACCAGAGGCCAGGGTGCAGTGCCCGAATTTGGGGGTGTTTCTGGATGTCAGTTTTCTTCACTGTCCTGTTTTACATGTTGGGGCAGCTCTGCCCACGGACTGGGATATGATATCCACTCCGTGTGCGGGGCTCAGGGCTGATGGCAAACGTTGGGACAAGGATGAGAGCATCGCACAGATGGACAGATGAACTCAGAGATGGGAGGGCCTGCATGGAGGTCGGTGGGGAAGCCAGGCTGCTCCCCTGGAGACCTCCGGAGAGGAATCCGCGTCTGGCTCATTGGTCTCTCCTCCGGGATCACTTGTCCTTGCTCACCCATCTAGGCTGTGTTTCCCGAGCCTGGCTCCCATAGTCATGTGGACTTCCTGCGTCATCCTTTCTCCAATAGCCTGGCTCAGCAGGGCAGGGGAGAGTCGCTGGGGCCTCCTGAGTGAGGTGGAGGATGGTCACTGGTCACATCGGACAGAAAGTGACACTGGGGGTTCATTTGAGTTCCTTCAACACACATCTCATGAGGTCTCCTTAGACCAGGCCCTGTGCTGGCTGAAGCTGGGGACACAGATGAGTCAGAGCCAGCCTGTCCTCT